TTTAAGACAGGAACTCCCCATGTGACCCATGCCAGCCTTAAACTCCTGCTGCCTCAGCCTCCTGGAGGCTGGAATTACAGGTATAGATCACCATGACCAACATATCTTGATACATGCCAGAAACAATACTGTGATCAGTGGGGAAAGGAACAGCCATTCAATGGTGCTAAAATTGATTATCAAAACAAGAGGGAAAAAAAATCAATTCCAGATAAATTAAAGGTAAAGTATAAAACTTCCTAACTTTTGAAGGAGATATAAGAAAAATTTTCTGACTGCAAGGTAATAATTTTTCTTTTAATAAAAAAGCACAAGCAAGCAATGCAATAGATTGATAGATCGACAGATCTGAATTTTTTAACACTAAAAATTTGTTTGTATAAATACTCCATAAAAGTAAGAGATAAACCAAACCAAAGACTAGTGAAATACAACTGTAATTTACCAAAAAGTAAAAGACAGAGAAAATTAGTTCCAGGTATGTTGGTACATCTTATAATCCCAGAGATTGGGAGGCAGAGGCAGGAGGGGGAGGTACGAGGATCTCAAATTTTAGGTCAATCTAGGCGATATGGCAAGATCCTGTCCGAGAAAGAGAGGGAGAGAAAAATCAGCTCATAGAAGACAAATATATAAATGGTCATTTATATGCCAGGCGTGGTGGCCCATGCCTTTAATCCCAGCACTGGAAAGCAGAGGCAAGCGGATCTTGGTGAGTTCAAGGCCAGCCTGGTCTACATAGTGAGTTCCAGGCCAGCTGGGACTATAGGGAGACCCTGCCTCAAAAAGACAAAAAAAAATTTTTTAAATGGTCATTTATACACACAAGATGCTTATTCCAGTGATCAAGGAGACATAAAACAGAAACCCAGAAGTATGGACCCGCCATACTGACAAAAGCTTAAAAGGGTGGTGATATAGCAAGCGTTGGAAGGAAAAACAAAATATTTAGTGCCACCTGCTGGATTTAGATGTGAATAAAGCTAATAAGGAAGACATGATTCACCTAGGCTTACTGGACTTTCCTTATAACCTTGCTCCTCTCTGTATTTCTGACAGCAACTGCAAACTGATCAGTAATATCCTTTGTATCATTCAAATTGTGAGGTAGCAGAGAAAAGCAATTAGATTTTCATATTCCCCTATGCATTCCACATGCAAACCCTTCTCTGAGAATGTTAAAATACAACTCTCTTAAGATCAATCCTGTGAACTGTGGTTTGAATTAATTTCTTCGCACTCTCTCTTATGCCCTTACACCATGAATTATCCCAGTTCATTTCCCCATGTCCTCTACCTTCAACCTCACTGACCCTATTAAAAGTCACACATTTGCATTTAAATGCAGCATTTGGAAATAATCTAATGTCCATAAACAGAATAAATTAATTCATTGTGGCATGTCCTCACAAGGGAATACTATATCTTTCAGAGGAAAAAAGAACGTACTAGAGCCATACATATTGACCAAAAAAAGCAAGATGTATAATAACATATGTGTTATTTATGTAATATTTTAAAACATACAATTAAAATATAATATAAAATTTTAAGAAATACATAGGAAGGCTGAACATGATGGTGCATGCCTTTAATTCTAGCACTTAGGAGGCAGAGGCAGGTGGATCTCTGTGAGACTGAGGCCAGTGTGGGCTACATAGCAAGTTCTACATGTCTCAAAAACCAAAAAAAGAAAGACAGGCAGACAGGCATAAGAGCAACAGAAAGACAGACAGACATAGGAACAATAAACACATACAAGAAATACCTCTGAGAAAAGAGAAAATACATTGACAGTTTCTCCTGTACTGATAACAGAAACTGACTCAAACGATTTTTTATGCTTTCTTAAATCTCTTAGATGTTTTACAATTTATTTTTTAAATAATAATTTTAGGAGCTAGAGAGATAGCTCAAGAGTTGAAAACAATTGCTGCTCTAGCTCCCACATGGCAACTCACAACCATCTGTAACTCCATTTCTGGCAGATCCAATGCTCTCTTTCTGACCTCCACAGGTGCCATGTGTACTTGGTACACATACATATATGCACAACACTCATACACATAAAATAAAAATAAATAAAATAAATCCTTAAAATAATTTAAAATTTTTTAAAAATATTTTACTTATTGCTTTTATTTTGTGTATGAGTATACTGCCTGCATGTGTTTAAGTAAACCAGTGCCTGCAGAGGTCAGAAGAGGGTGTCAGATCCCCGGGAACTGGAGTTACCGATAGTTGTTAGCTGCCATGTGGGTGCTGGGAGTCAAACCCGGGTCTTCTGCAGGAACCTCCTCATCCTTGCCAATCTTGCTTTTTCTGGTCATTGTGTGCATTCAAATTTCAGCCACTGACTGTGAATCTACCTCGGATCAGGCGTGATCATAGCATGTAGAGGCCAGCGGTCAATTGCCCGTCACGTTTTTTTTTTTTTTTGAGACGGGGTGGGGTGGGTTG